TCTATACAATACGGATAATAATACAGACTCAGACAATATTATGTACATATACATATACGGTTTTCCTAAATGTTTTAGTTGGTATTATTAAATATTTAATTGTATAGATTACAGCGATATAAATATTTAAAAAAAATATATATATAAGATTAATTAAACAAATAAAAATATCCACAATGAAATAAAAATCAATATACCGTTTATAAATTAGTTTCACTTCCCCGTTGTCTGAAATTCTTATTTCTGCCAAAAAGAGTGTTGTAAGTGAAAGTTGTGTCATTCGCGCACAGCCCCAGATTTTTGTGTAAGTAATTAAACTTCATGTTATTTACATTATTTTTTATTTATCATAAATATTGTTTGGGAAGTTCTGGGTAAAGTCTTTAAAATGAACACATCTAAATTAACTTTGAAAGATCTTAGAAAAAGTTCCTCAAACAATTTTCTTACCATTTTTTGTTAAGTATTTATCTGGCTATGTGAGAGTAAATGGAAATATTAATGACCCCGCCCCATCCAAAATTGTAGTTAGAAAAAGAGAATTATATGACACAATGAAGTCAATGAATAAAACACCGTGGGGGGAGAATTTAAAATATTATAAACAAGCGATTTGTGAACGTTTGAAGTTCAAAATTTAAATACAAATAGGAATAAGTTAACCAGTCATAAGAAGTATTCCTTTAAACTAATTAGATGGCTCTGAAAAACTTCCACATTTTGAATTTTCAAGTTGATTAAAGGTTTGCATGCAGTTGTTTCCAGGACAAATGTGTAAAATGCTGTAGAGTTTCGTACCATTTAATGTGTTCAGGAGTTAGCATATACAAGTTATTTTATACTTTGAAACACATTCAGTTAAATAGAATTACGACGGAACTCCGCATGGTCCGATGAAATGGATTTGTAATGCCATTAATTTCGTCTTGTTAACTGTGGTTTGGATTTCTCGTAAAAATCCCAATATTTGTTGGCTTTAATTTTGTAGAATTTAGCCTCATATAAAGATTTTTTTTCACGTCCTCCAAGTCAATTTCTAGTTTTGTCTCTGATTGTAACTGACTTAACCCTCGTTCATATTATTGTATAGACTATTTAAATGATAACTTGTGGTAAAGAAAATCGTTATAATGATTATTCAAACATATTTAGGTCATCTGCTCTAACTGTGCCACAGCCATGCTTGTCCATTTTTGCCTTTTAATATTCCAAATATCATTTGATTCATTAAGGTTATGGTAAGGAGGAATTTGAATTGTTCTTAGGAATGATTTATCTTCTACGCATTGAGGTATAAATAGAATAGATGTTGTTGTTAAAGTTGAATTTTCGACTAATTAAATTAATGTCTGCTACAAATCTATCAGAAAACAATGAATATTAATTATTTTTAATTATGATTCTAATTTAGTTAGTGTCAAAAACAATTCTTGTTGATTCATATGTGTTTTGCTGACAGATTTCTTGTTTATATTCTTTTGTACATAAACGAAGTAAATATAAATTGCTTCTAAAAAGTTATATAGTGTTAATTCATAAATTATTTTAGGAACAACTAAAACCGTATCCGGAAAACATATTTCATTAACGTCAGTCGTTACTGTACCTACAAACTGTTTACATTAAATTATTAAAACGAGGGAAGTGTAAGATTAATTATAATAATGTTGAATTAACAGTCTACGCAATAAGGTTTGTAAATATTTGTTCTATTTCTTTGATGAGTTCTCTGTCACTATCATTTAGGACTTTTGCTTTCTTCAACTTGAAGGTCTACAGCCGCTTCTAATTTATTTATAAAATAAAAAAACTTGTAATTTTACATCCCATGAAGGATTTTGGGTCTAGAAATTAGGCCAACATTTGTTAATTTTGATCCTGATTTAGGTATAGGAATAACAATTTATAAACCAATTTATTATTTCTCTTTTAATAATATTTTATTGAGAATAAGAAATACATTTTACCTCAATTAAGGGCATTAAGTATTTAGGATGTATGAAACACAAACATAGTATATATACAATAAAAGAAAAACAAGATTATAACAAAAGAAAAGAAAAGAGAACTTGGACTAACAGAATAAATCAAACATAGATAACATAGGCTACCGCTTCAGCCTTCGAGGAGGATTATAGGGATGACTGGAACTGGATAAGGATTGTGCTAAGGGATTAGGATGATGGATTAAGTTATGATGAAAATTTGAAAATCGGGATGGAATAACGTCAAGGACATAATGGATGTTAAGGTCATGATGTAATCTTTTGTTCGTAACATAATAAGGAGCATTGACTATTATACGGAGGACTTTAGACTGGAAGGATTGGATGCGTTTGATGTTCGAAAATTTTATTGCCCCCCAAAGTTCAAGTCCGTAGGTCCAGATGGGTTTCAGTATGATCTTGTATACTTTGTTTTCAATTGAGAGGTTAGATTTTCTGTTAAGTAGTCTGTATAACTGGCCAAATCGTCTGTTGAGTTCTTGTCTTTTAAGTCTGGTATGTGGGTTCCATGTTAAATTTATTTATTGTCAGAGAATATAGTTCCTTTCTTGTGTCAAATCCATCGTCTAATTTACAGTGGGCTGAGTTGGAGAGCTCTTTAAAATGGTTTTTTCATTGCAATAAGACGTCAACCCTGTAGGCCACTATATTTCCATCTTGTCTCTGCAAGTTTCTGGTACATTTCTTCAATATTTTCCTTTTATTTATGCTCCTGATCCTTATTTTTCCACTCCATCACAAAAACCACCTTTTTCATCGATTTCTAAAACTCTTTGTTTTAATAATGCCTCTTCTCTAATCTCTAGTTTATTTATTTCTTCTTTAATCAGCTTAGAGTATCCTTTGATGTTATTTAGTTTTAATACTTTATCAAAGATACGCTCATACTAGATTAAAAGACAGAAACTTAACCGATAATAGAGCCAACTAAACATACTACAAAATAGAAAATCTAAACTCTCTATTGAAAATAAAATACTTATCTGCAATACAATACTGAAACCAACTTGGACTTACGTACTTGAACTGTTGGGAACAGCAAAATTTTCTAACGCATCCAATGCAAAGTCTTTCGAACAATAGTCGATGCTTCTTTTTATGTAATCAACAAAACTTTACACCGTGACCTTAATATCCAATTTGTCCTAGACCTTATCCCAGCAAAATTATCCAAATTTCACCAGAACATTTCCTATCATCCAAAACTCTTTTCACAATCCCTATCCAGCACCACCCATCCCTATAATCCTTCAAGAAGGTTAAAACGGCAGTGACCCTGCTTCTTTTATAGTTTGCAAATATTGGAGTTCTGGCAATGGCCAGATTCCTTACTCACGACATGAGTGTATGTGGCTAAAGCGATCTTGCTCAATCTCCACTGGGTTTAGCCCCAGTGACACAGTTAAGAGAGAAGTAGAGAAATCTCCTGGAATCATGCTTTTCCCTCCACAGTTGGAGGGATAGATCTGGCTCGGAGTTCTCTTGCCTGATTGTATATAGTGTGTATAGGTATGTATGTGTTCTTTTTATTTTAGGTTATTTTATTCAGACAGATTGTAATATTTTTCAATAAACAAGTTGAAAAAAAAATTCAAAGATCCGTTTGTTCAATCTATCATTTTCCGTTCTCTTCATTTGTCCATAAAACTTCTATCTTATTTTTCTCATTGATGTCTCTAGGAGTTAAATATCTTCATACAGCTCCTTGTTGGTGTTTGATCAGTATTGTATTGTATTGTATATTGTATTTTCCATTATTAATGATATTTGATTGATTGATGAAACCTTAGCTGAAAAGTCATTTATTGGTATTTGAAAATAAAAGCTTTGTTTTGAAATTTTCTAATTACATCCTAACAGTTGTTTAAATATAAACATTTACAAATTTTACAAAAATTTCATTTATTTATACAAATGTATAAGTTATATATTTTTTTATTGATTATGAATTTTTATCAGGTATTATTATTATCAGTTCAGTGCTCAGTAATATCTGGACCATTTAAGTATCATGGATATTTTCCACCAATAAGAATGGTCTTTTCAGGCAACTTCTATGTTACATATAAAAGCATATTCTTTAAAAATATTATGCTATTATATTAACATTTCTAGTTGAGCATAATGGAATATTAATATTCTAGTTATTATATAAAATAATAAATTATATAAGTTTAATGGATGATAATGATATGCAGCTTACAATTAATATGCATAGGTATAAAGCGTGTTTCACAGTTAAGTGGTCAAACTGAAAATATAAATTAAGGGCCTTAAAACAAGAAAAAAAATGTCTATGAAGGTATGTCTGCAAACGCTTTGTTTAGAAGATATTCACATTTAAAGATTTTAATTGTTATTATTTATTTACGTTATATTAAGTAAATAAAGCTTATCTATTTGTTCCAACTACTTTATTTATTAAACTTACACATTAAATTCATACTAAACGTTGTTCAAAGTGATTTCTTTGAGCATTAAGACAGGCTCGGCATCTTTCTTCAACAGCAGCAGTGCCAGAACGCCACTGGATATGTGTTATTGTTTCACAAGATTCATTTATTCTTCTTCGAAAGGAATTAAGGTCATTGACCGGACTTGCTTAGGCTTTTTGTTTGTCCAAAAACTCCAGTGGTGTCAGGTCTGGAGAGCTTGCAGACCAAGCCATTGGTCCTGCACGGCCAATCCATTGATTGGGATCATCAACGTTTAGCCATTTCGTGGACCTCTTCCGTAATGTCAGGACAACCATCTCATTGAAGCCACGTCTCCTTCCTTAGTTGTACTGAAATATTCCAGGTTTTATTTATTTCATGTAACGTAAATAATTCATAAAAAACGCAAATTTTTAGGTGTGATTATCTTCTAAAGCGTTTGTGGAAATACCTTCAGAGGAAATTTTTTTTCTTGTTTTAAGGTCCTTAGTTAATTTTTACAGGTTGGCCACTTAATCCTGAAATACCTTGTATATGCCAGTATAAAAAATAAAAGGAATAAAAGTCATGATATAGTTTTATTATACATTCCAAGTTAATTCAGGATAATTAATCTCGTAGTAAGTCTTTTTGAGCCAAGTAACAGTAATCTCACTGAGTGAAACTGAATCTAAATCTTCTTTGGAATGAAAGAGAACTTCGGTCTTCGGGCTGAACATGTGGAATCCATTTTTAGAAAAGTTGCCCTTAATACCGTTCAGATCCAGCCAGACGAAGAGTGCGTGATTTTCTGCCTTTAGGGATAGTTTCGCGGTATGATTATCCAGTTTTTCGATTTTCGTGATCTGAAAAATGAAATAAAATTTATTATAAAAAGAAAATTCATTCTAGAACAACAAATCTGTGTTTGAAATAGATGGTTATTTTTCCACAAAATCATGTAATAATTATTATATTCCATTTTTATATAAAAATGGATAAAAAATCTTAATTGATTTGATTACAAACAATGATCACTGACTGAATGATGCGGTATGACATTAATAATAATCTCCTTTTAACAAATTAATAACACAACATTTAGAAAGAAAGAAATCATTTTAAAACTAAACTGTTAAAATTAAAAGCTCCATGCAGTGAGGCAGTTTATATATATATATATATATATATATATATATATTTTGTAAGCAATATTTCTAATGAATTTCGGAAATAAAGATGTTCTGTTGCTAATCATAAAAATTATACTAATAATTTAAATTTCGATTAAAAAGTATTACTCAAAAAATATAAAATAAATGTTAAAAAATACTGATAAGGATATGGTTTTTATCACTTATGATAAAAAAAAAAAATATATCTCTTAATAAAAATCAAATGATTTTTAGAAATTCTAGATAAAAACTTTCATAGGATTTCATTTTAAATTTTATGTTTTTAATACTATTAAGATTTTAAACTCTGCAACATACCTTAAGAAAAGCATTCCTTTAAATCAAAACAGAAATAATTCCAGCAAAAAATATTTTATAATAAATACAATAATATAATGATTATATTATAGATGTGCTATCGTTGCGGACATGGTGAAATATTAAAATTAAAATAAATAGTAAAGCTTTTTGAATTTGTCATTTTTAAGTCATACAACTGTTTCTATTCTTATGATAAAAATATTAGAAATGGTATCTTATAAAGCGAAATATGTATCGAAAATTCGTTTATAGTTTAGTCACCAAAGAGAAATGATGATTCATCATTTTCCCATTTTGATTTTAGTACACAATAGTTATTTATAATAATACAGCAAACGCGTCAGTTTCTAAATGTTTTGGTGGTAAGTAATATTATGTGTGGCTGATCAGTAGTTTCAATCTCGTTCAAAAATTTAAATTTATAATAATAGATGATAGAAAATGTGTTAAATTGAAAGTTTCCACAGTTAACAAGTTGTCAATATTAAATTTAATTGGGATTATATATGTACTATAAATGCATATTATGAAATCGGTATTTATGAGAAAACTATGAAATATGACTAAGGTAAATACTGGATAGATGGCATATTTATTAAAAATAATTATGATAAGATAAGAACCAAATAAATTACTATATTAATTTATTCACTTTGCGTACATTAACATAATTTTTCACTTTCTTTAAAATTCAATGTTTTCCATTTTTGCTAGTTTCCCATATACTCGATGATATAATTAATAATAGTAAATAAACTCAAAATGAATTTGTTCTACTGGAATATATAATCACTGCTGAACAGGTGATCTGGGCCTTATGTTTTAGGGTTTGTTCAAAATACAGCTTTATCCAGATTTTATCAGCCAGAATTTTTATTAAATCAATAAAAAAAAATTGGAAATACTCTGTTAAAGAGTTGGGTTTTGAGCAATATATATAAAATTAATTTATTTAAATAAAAACACTGCAAATTATTTCACAATGGTTTATTATTTCCCAACAATTATACATCTAAAGTAACATTACCTTTCTAGTTAATTTTAATTATTTACTTAAACATGTTTTTTCATCATTAGTAATTTTCTAAAAAAAAAAATAGCATTACTTCAGTAACACATTCAAAAATCCATATCCAAAACAAAGGATTTGCAGTAGAACATAAAAATCTTCTAGAAACCATATCTTTGCTTCTAATTGTCCGATTTTAACGATTTTTTTTTTTAGGAATTTTCGTAATTTTTTTTTTTAAAGTGCAGGGTCAACGAAGAAGTGTATACTTTTTTATTTACTCAGAAATCAAATTTTAGCACCCCTCATAACTTTTATCCAGCTTCTTTTCGTTGATTTTATATAGATAAATTTAAAGAGCATCGAGAATAAGACTTTAGCGAAGTTTCATTGAAATTGGTAAATTCAGGTTCTACAGTCTACACTACGCAGATTTTACGGCCGCTATTTTGAAAGTAAAAAGCGGATAGTAATATCGATGAATGAGGAACATTCTAGAGTAACCTCTAATTTTATCCAAATTTGAAAAAAAAAATTGGTCCAGTAGTTTCGGAGAAAATGCGCGGACGGCGGACGGACTAAAAAAAAAAATTGTTTTCGTTTTTCGAATTCTACGTATCCTGAAACGTAAAACCCCAAATTTTGAGATGGGGTTAAGTTTTGGAATTTTTTGTTCGATTACAATGGTTCATTATTGAAAATAATTAACGAAAAATATTTGATGGAGCTTAATACTTTAGCCTAGGCAGATAGTTGAATTATGCGTAAAAATCATCTATTCATATAGTACTTTTGGATAACATAGATCAAAACAAATAATAATCGATATACATTTCTAATGATCGATTTAAATGGTAAATAATCGATACCTCACATACCTCTACGGACGTGTCTGGATAATTCGCTGTGTTCAAAGGAGTGTAGAAGTAGAAGTTCTCTGGGGCTATTTGGACGCCATCTTCAGCCTCGAGCGAAGTCGTGTAGAAGCATTTTTTGTCTTTACAGTATTGGCCTATTGGAATTTTAGTTGCCAGGAAAGACTCATTGTCAATCTAAAATAATAAAAAAATATTCACATTTGTGTATTTACTTACAATTAAATGTATATAGTTAAAGAGAGGATAAACTACAAAAATAAAATAATTGGTAATTGGTTGACTGTCGTGGATAATGAAGAGAAGAATAGTTGGGGTGTTTATATTTATTTTTTACATATGCCGACGTTTCGACCTGAAGTTCAGGCCTTCATCAGGACTAAGAAAATAACCAGACAACAAGGTATGAGAAACACAAGTAATGATGGTAAAAAAGATAATAAAAAATAAAAAAATAAAATAAAAAAATTTAGAAAAATAAAATAGATAAATATAAAGTAAAATGAAATTGTTAGACTAATTACTAAGAACTAAGAGATAAATAATAAAAACCGTTACAAAGTGTGGAGTGATGAAGTAGGCATAATCAAAAAGGGTGACAAAAGTGTTACAATGGGAATCTTAGAATAAAATGTAAAACATAAAAAAGAAATATGAAGTTATATAAGAAATGAAAATAAATAGTAAAATTAAAACATTGAGAATGGAGTAGTTAGATAGAAAATTGAGATATCGTAAAGTCTGTCAAGATGTACAGACAATGTAAATATACAAAGATGTACAGACAATGTAAAAGTACAGACAATTTCTTCCCTCCTTCCTTTCATTCCTTTTCTCTGTTTTTAACTCTTTATTATATTATACATTGTCTGTAAATCTTGATAGACTTTACAATATCTCAATTTTCTATCTAACTACTACATTCTTAATGTTTTAATTTTACTATTTATTTTCATTTCTTATATAACTTCATATTTCTTTTTTATGTTTTACATTTTATTCTAAGATTTCCATTGTAACACTTTTGCCACCCTTTTTGATTATGCCTACTTCATCATTCCACACTTTGTAACGGTTTTTATTATTTATCTGTTAGTTCTTAGTCATTAGTCTAACAATTTCATTTTACTTTATATTTATCTATTTTATTTTTTTTATTTTTTTTTTATTATCTTTTTTACCATCATTACTTGTGTTTCTCATACCTTGTTGTCTGGTTATTTTCTTAGCCCTGATGAAGGCCTGAACTTCAGGTCGAAACGTCGGCATATGTAAAAAATAAATATTATCATTTATTTTTTACTTCCTTTTTGACTGAACACCCCAACTATTCTTCTCTTCATTACAAAAATAAAACTTCCGTCAGGCTCACTTACCCAAAATTATTGCGTCAGTAATTTCGGAAAAATTTTATTACAGAAAACTACTTACAATACTAGGATTCAATAAGTACCTAAAATATATTAACCGGATACATAAAATAAAATATGTATTATATAGTCACTTAAATACATTTGTACGTATATATATATCTATATATTTTAAGTTTCTGTTATTTCACCATGTTTCCTTTTAAATGTTTAGATTGAATGATTTGTTGCGATAGTATATTCATTATTTCGTAATAAAATTTGTTTCATCTCGTTAACAGTGGTTTGGATTCCATTTAAATATTCCAATCTTTGTTCTAATTAATTTAATACAATATTACTAAAAACTCGTAAATACCCATTTGCTTTCTACTTCGATCGTAAGATCATTTGGTCACAAAATCGAGAAAAAATGTTGCATCAACAAATATTGAGCCGTTTAGCGTGAACTACACCCCTACATTTTCAAAATAACGATTATATTGCATAAATAAACGGCCCACCTTTTGTAGGCCACCTTTTTTATCTATTTTGTGATGAAATTATCTTACGATCCAAGTAGAAAGCAAATGTATATTTACGAGTTTTTATTACCTAATTAAATAGACAAAGTTTGCCCCCTCCTCCAGATTGTAAACGTCCCAATTGCTAGAGTTTTCGTAAATAAAATAGTTGTAGGTTACGATGAGATGAAACTATTTTCGAAGTTTCAGGCGGATGTTAATAATTCTATAAAAAGGTGTCTGTATGTACCACGTACTAATAGCCTCATTTAAAGATTTTTCTTTTTCCACGATCTCCAAGTTAATTTCAAGTTCTGCCCCTGATTGTAACTGGCATAACCATGGTTTATATTATTGTATAGACCGGTTAAAGATCATTTAAGTGATAATTTGTGGTAAAAAAAAAATGGTTATAATGATTCTTCTCACAAATTTAGTTCATCTCCCCCACTCTGCAACACGTCATTTTCGCCCCTTATTTCAAATATCATTTAATTCATTAAGTTATTGTGAGGCTGATGTATTTCAAATGTTCTATCTTTGAACGATTTATCTTCTATGAATTTGGTTATGAATATAATAGCTCCTGTTAAGGTTGAATTTTCGACTTCAAATCATTATATCTTTTATGTTTTATCTTAAAATTAATATCTGCTACAAATATATCAGAAAATAATTGACATTTCTTTTTTTAAATTATGGTTATAATTTAATCCAAAACAATTCTTGTTGATTCATATGTGTTTTGCTAACAAATCTCTTGTTCATATTCTTTTGTGCACGATATAGGAAGTAAATATAAATTGCCTTCAGGAAGTAATATTGAATAAATTTATAAATTATATTATAAACAACTGGAATCGTACCCGGAAAAAAAATGTCAGTCGGTGTCTGCGTGTCTACGAATCACTGCTTAATATCCCACAAAATATTATATTTTCGTACGTTTTACGGTTTTGTCCCATTTAGACCATGAAATAGCAGATTTGTGAATACTTTTTTTAATCGAAAACGTGCTCCTTCATTGTCAAAATATAATAATATAGAAGATACAGTAGTTTTTGGTATATTCAGAAGTGATCCGGAGAAGCATCGAAGTCGTAATTCTGCATTTTGTATCTCAGTCACATCCCTACAAGAAAAATCTGGTGCTGTGCGCGCATCACACAACTTTCACTTACCACCCTGTTCTTAGCAGAAATAAGTATTTTCAGACAAAGGAGAAGTGAAAGTAAAAATTATAGACGCTATAATTATTTATATTTAATTGTGGGTATTTTTATTTGTATATGTATCCTTATATATACAAATTTTAGTATTTATATAGGTGTAATCTATACAATTAAATATTAAAAAATACCAACAATAGCAGTTATGAAAATCGCATATTAATATTTATATAATATTGTCGGAGTCCGTATTATATTAAGCTCATGTTGCGTATGGAAGACTGTTGTAATCTTTCGGGCGAGCACGAGTACGATGAATTACAACTATTCTCCGTTAGGATTTTTTATTTCTCCTTTAGTTAATTATCAAATTCATTCATACTTTATATTTAACTATCTTTTATATTAGAGATTAATGTGAAATAGCCAATTGTTTTAAATAAAAAAAAATGCAAGGTACTTTAGAGGAGCTAATATTGAAAATTAGCCATTTAAGCCCTGTTAGAGAACATCTATCAGAATAAAAACGACATTTTATTTAAAACTGCTTAATTTTACTTTTACATAATGAATTTAATCAAAATCGTTAGAGCCGTTTCCGAGAAAATTGTAAAAATGTGTTTAGCACATGATATAAAGAGCCACTTCCAGTCTGTCGATTTTTACGAAAAATTTACTGTAACATCCCTAGCATATAAAAACCTTAAATATGCAATTTCACTTTCGTACCACATTTCATTTTTGAGAAAGACTGTTAACATACACACACAGACCATTTTGCGGGACTTGGCTATTTGGACTCAGAGAACCTGAAAACGTGTATTTCCGTTGAAAACTGAGATTCAAAAATTTTCACGATCGCAATACTTTCCTTTATCGTATATTTCATACATTGGTAAGTGAATGTAAAAAACAGTAATCTTCTACCACTACTTCTTCACTAATCTTACTTTTTCTATCACTTGATGCAACTTAGCATGAAAAATCCCTTTTCATGACGAAGCTACTGGACTATTTTGTATGTTTGTATTTTAAGGCGGCAATCTTTAAGATCACTAACAGGAGTCATCATGTATATAATATATCTTAAGATACCAAGGCGTTGAGTATACATTATCTGTTTAACTAATGAATGTACAGACTAATAATTTAAAATTAAAATTTCTTACCAGTTCGACCTGAAGCGTAATTTTCTTAAATGGTGACCAGTTTAAATTAGTCCAATTATACATATTAAAAGTGAGATTTGCGGTTTTCTTTGGAGCGTAACCGTCCACAACAATATATATAGACATAGTTTCTCGGTCGACCGAAATCTCTGGTGAAACGATAACGGGAGCGAAAAATTCTCCAGCGAAATAATGCAGCATTTTCCATTGACCACAATAATCTGTAACAGTTAGATACAGTGCGTGTAGTTTGTTAATAGCTGAAAAATTAATTAATAAATATGTAATAGATAATCAATAAAAAAAAATGTTTGAGTGGGATTTAGGGTTAGGCTAAATTTCCTTACCCTAAATCCCAGGTTTTATTTTTGCAAACATCGTAGGAACTTAAAACGAAGATATTTATTATAATACACTCATATAAATACCAGTTTCTATGATAGCTGGAATTAAATTTCAAACTGTGATTTCTCGTATTTAAAAAAAAAATGTCAATTTTTAAAACGATTTCTCTTCAATTCTTGAAAGAGGGCTCTATCATAAAGAGAGATTCTATTGTAGCTCAAATTCAAGCTAATATAATGCGCTACAAAGTAGTCAATGATAATTATCGTAGAAAGATGTGGTGGGGTCTGGAGAGGCGAGGATAGAGGATTTTGCTATGATGAGTACTTCTGATGTGCCATTTATATATTTTTAAGGCTAGATTATTTTATATAGAAATAGAAAACAAAATTTATTCTGGGACGAGATCCCTTAATAACAATAATGAACAAAAAATAAAAACGACATCTGGCCAAAAATTACATTAATCAAAATTAAAGAATATATACAATATCTTCACTGAAAATATAGAAGCTGATAAAGAAAATTGTAGGATAATTTCTAAACCATAGTGCCTTTTGAGCAATGAAATTTGGAAAACAAATAGCCAATAAAGCTTAGTAAATACTCGACGGTTGGCCGTTGTATATTATTAAGGAACGAGATGATCCGTGGTGTTAGTTATAAAAATACTTAAAATAGGGAAAAAAAACATTTTATTTCGAGCCGATGTTTCCACCCAACTGTGCAGGTATTCTTCAGGGCAAGAACGAAGATACAAAAGAATATAGAGAATTGTGGTAGTTACATGAATTCTCCTACAATTTTCTTCAAAATTGTATTCCAATATTTACAATAAAACTTAAGGTTTATTTTTTTTTTTGCTTTATGAATGTATTCTTACTTACTTACTATAAGCTATACAACTCGAGGTGGGACTTATCTTATCTGACAATAGTACACCTCTCTTCACAACTCGCTGTTTCTCCTATTTCTTACTAGTGTTGTCCAAATGCGAGACCAAAAATCGTCTTGGTCTTGGTCTTGCGCAAGAGTCTCTTGACAGTCTTGCAGTTAACTATTAGCTTATTTCTATAGAGACATTACTTTAACTTTTTATATAGAGGAATTCAAACTTAGCCCGAATAAAAAATTGGAAGAGTTATAAAAATATATTGGTTATGCCAATTCTTTACATATAATATATAAAATTCCTTAATTTTGTCTTGCAACAGTTAAGCGGTCTTGGTCTTGGTCTTGCAAGGAGCAAGACCAAGACCTGTTTTGGACAACACTATTTCTTACACTAAGTGCTGCCAAGTCCTTTTCTACATTCTGGATCCACCGTGTACCAGTTCTTACTTTCCTTCTGATGCCAAGCGTTCTTGTAAGCAGAATTCTTTTCGGAGATCTACTGTCCTCCATACTTAGTTCGTGACACATCTATTTTCTTCTTCTTACTTTTATAAAGCGTACTATGGCACAGTTCAACTCATATAATTTATAGAGTCCATTCAACTCATATAATTCGCTATTTTTCCAGCTTCTCAATTCACCCTCATCCAATATAGGTCCATATATTATTCTTACAATTTTTCATGAAAAAATATTTAATAAGTTTTATAATTGTGCGTTGATGGTTGACTGTCGTGAATAATGAAGAGAAAGGTGGTTGGGGTGATCAGTCAGAAATAAAAAGACAACTATAAATAATAATATTTATTTTAACATTTGCTGACGTTTCTACCTGAAGTTCAGGCCTTCATCAGGGCTAAGAAAAGAACTAGATAACAAGGTATGAGAAAGCTCTCCAGGTCTCCTCCCATGCCTCCTTTTATTCCTAACTCTGTCCATTCTATTCTCCGGAGGTACTTCGTTTCTGCAGCAGTAGCTTTAGCCAGTGTCTGTCCAGCTGGACTCAGCTCTCACTCCCATAAATAAGGTAAGTATATGTGCTTAAAAATGTATAATTTTACATTTTTTGTAATTCTTTTTTCCCCAAAACTGTGCTGCATAGCGTGTAGTATATGTTGTTGGTTTTCATAATTCTATTTGAGAGCTCTTGGTCCATTTTCTCGTTTCTGCTGTGCACTACTCCGAGATATGTATACTCCTGTTGACGAGATATGTATCTACCTGCTTAAGATTTGTCTTTTGTACATCGAGGCGGTCTCATGTGTCCCACCTTTACGAAGAGTTAAATTGGCTCTTCTCTTCTTTCCGCAGATAATATTTCCTTGGATCTTTCCTATTCCAAACGATCAACACCAGACACCCTTCCTACATTTACTCCTATAGTTTAAACCCGTGGTCCACTCCCAGAAAACAAGATCCCGTGTTTCCGACCTTTATATCCCTTCCCATAGAACTAAGACGTTTGAATATTCCTTTATTGCCCGATCCACTGCCTTCTGGAATTCCTTGCCATCTGATATCCGCCATGCCTCTTCCAAAATGACGTTATTCAATGAAATAAATATTACGAAACAGATTTTGATTGAGGTGAATGGTTGTTAAAATTGATTGAGTTTTAATTTTAAAAATCAACACATGCTTATAATAATATTTTGTTTTGTATTCTTTTCATTTAAATAATGTTTTTTTTTAAATGGTGTTATTTTTACTTTTTTAAATATAAATTTACTGAAGATGCTGTATATATTTCTTTAATATTGACTAATGTAATTTTTGGCCAGATGTAGTTTATACTTTTTTTTGTGCATATCTGTTATTCATAAGGGACCTCGTCCCAGAATAAAGTTTACTTTCTATCTATCTATCTATCTATCCTGCGCTGTTTCCAAGGTTTCCCCTCCGCTGCGAACCCATACTTCCTCTTCACGACTAATGTGCATCACCTTACTCTTCCATACATTTAATATCATACCTTTTTTTCTAGCTCAGCTTCCCTTTTAGTAACTGCCTGCTGCAGATTTTCTTTGGAATCGCCAATAAGGACAATATCATCTGCCAAAACCATCACTTGAGCAAGGATTGTCCTCATGTTCCACTTTACCACGACAGTCCGTGTTTTCCTCCTCTTGCATATTTTCAATATTTCATCCATAAATATTATGAATATCAAATGATTAAGGATGTCACCCTTTCTCATGGCGAAGGCATCGGGAATTCTTCCGTTGATTCTAACAACTCCTTTGGAATCATGATAGGCAGATTTAATGGCACTAATTAATTCTATAGGGACATTTTTAGTGGCTAAAGCTGTCCATATTTCCTCTCTGAAGACGAAATCGAATGCTGCCTTTATGTCCAGGAACGCCTAGTACGGAGTCAGGGAACACTATCATTAAATAGGGAAATGTCAAGGAATTTTCCTTTAACCATCTGGCATCCACCCTAACATACGAACAGTCTACTTATAAATTAGAATGAAATAATGAATCGGTTGAGGCACTGTAACGAGGGATACTTATAAAACAATATTTGCATCTACTAATATAGCCTCTTATGAATAAATACATTATGAATTGTAAATCCGTTTTCCATTGATTATTCTAGCTAATTGGAGGTTGTTTAAAGAGTTTAATTAGAAATTTGCAATGTGGTATTTATTAGGCTGTTAAATATTTATAAACGTTTTAATTTATTATTATTTAGTATATTTTTACTCACAGACAAAACATTTAAAAAAAAAAAAAAAACGCTGCAAATTATTTCACAATGGTTGATTATTTCCAAACTACTATACATCTAAAGTAACATTACCTTCCTAGTTACAAAGAAAAGTAAATAAAAGGTGATTCCAATTGTTGGACTGAACTTTTTTTTTAATCATTAGTAATATGCTAAAAAAAAATAGCATTGCTTCAGTAACACATTCAAAATTTAAAAACCAAAACAACGATATAACATTTGGAGTAGAACATTTTAAAAAAACCTGGAGACTATATCTTTGCCCCTAATTGTCCGACGATTTTTTTTTTAGTTTTTTAGGAAATCCCGTAAACTTTTACAAAACAATATTAACAAAAAAGTGTAAACTTTTTGAGTTATTTGGAATTTGATTTTACCATCCCTCGTAACTTTTTTTCCAGTTTTTTTTTCGTTGAAGTATGTTATATAGATAAATTAAAAGGTCGTCATGAAAATGACTTTAGCGAAGTTTCATTGAAATCTGTACATTCGTTTAGGAGCTACAGTCTATAGCAACGCAGGTTATTCGGCCGCCATTTTGAAATTAAAGGCCGGATAATACTGTCGATGAAGGAGGATCATCCTTGGGTGACCTCTGATTTTATATCTAAATTTGAAAAAAAATCGGTCCAGTAGTTTCGGAGAAAATGCGCGGACGGCGGATGGACAAAAAAACTTTATTCGTTTGTCGGATTCTACGCATCCTGAAACGTGAAACCTCAAATTTTGAGATGGGGTTAAGTTTTTGAATTTTTCGGTCGATCATAATGGTTGATTATTAAAAATAATAAACCAAAATCTGGTACTGTGTGCGCATTACAAAAATTTCACCCATCATCTTACTTTAGAAATATGTAGTATTCATATAAAGATAAGTGAAAATAAAAACTATAAATGCTACAATTTTTCATTTAAAACTATTAATTATCACATGTTTTTCATGTTTAAATATATGGGCAATTCTCATTTTAGGGGCAAGTTTTAGTCCGTTACAAGTTTTACGTGATTAAGTCTACCTTGATTTTTTCCACACTGCTATTTGGTTAAGAAGTATTTCTTCATAATGAAATATTAAAGAATAATGCGATTTTATAATTACTTCAGCTACTAAAATGTCATTGCCACGTATTGTCCCACACTCATTTTTCTAATAAACAATTTTTTTTTTCTTTCGAAACCTGTATAAATTACAGTGAAATTTATTTCCACTCTTAAAGAATAATTAAGACATTTTGAATTACATATATTTTTTTAAGTTTTGTTAACAGTGAAGTATGTTTATGTATTTTCAAACATTGTCCCACCACTTTGATATCATTACCAAGCAAAAAACATAACATGATATTTCAATGCCGCCAAAATAATAAAAATTGCTCATAATCTGAGAATCACCCATGCGCGTTTTTTTTTTTTATCTCTATATATATTTTTGTCACTGATAATATTTCCTGTTTATTTTAATTATTTATTAAATTATAAGTGTGCCATATTTTAGACTAATAACAGCAGCTCCCCGTTACGTAAACAACAAAACTTGCAATAAATAACTATCGACCAACACATACGTACTCCTTACTCCCGATTTCATATTAAACTATACGGAAACAATAAACTGTACGATGGATGACCACAACTGATATAACCATCAGGAGACGCCTAAAAAGGAGCTGGATGAAAGATCTGCTTTTCTTGAATTAATTGATTAATTAATTAATAATTAATAACGACTAGGTGAAGATACTGCTGATTACTATTCTTCCTCATGCCTATAATGTTTTTTTCCAAGTTCACTACAACACATACTGTACGCTCAGTGCTGAGCTCATCAACAGCACTTTTTTGTCCAGTTTAGAGACGTATTCGATTCCATCGATTACACCGTTGGGTGTAGGCTCATTGAGTTAGGCTTTAGCTTTCTGTTATTTATCAGCTGTGAATCCTAACATGAACCCTTTACATTTTAACCCTCCAATCTTTAGAAATATCCAACGATAAAATTCGACACTTAAGTTTTTCTCTTTATAATCTATAATCTTTACCGATGAATACAAATTTGAAATTTGTACAAGGATGTCATTGTAAAATGTTTTTTTTTCTAGTATGGTATCTATAATTAGATCTAATTACCTATAGATGACCAAGATGGAGCTTGCCAAATATCATCTAGTTGCCAATAGAGAGCGCCCATCGTGTAGCCTTCTTTCGAGTCCAACAGAATGCTCTTGAGTCTTCTATATCGTTCGCTCTCAGCTTTCATCGACATGGCTTGGTTTATCTAATAAATAAAATAAAATAACATTCCATACATAATATATATTATAATAATATATAGGAGTCATAATAAGTGATAATAAGAGTCATTCTATCGGAAATTGACCATTCAAACACAACTTAATAAAAAAAAAATTGTGGTGTGTGCTTAGACCACACGGTAAGAGTGAAAACATCAATAAGGCGAGATTAATCATACGAATCATAAATTATAAATAATATCGCATTATGAAGAGGAAGAAATGCTGAACATTTCCCTCGCTTACAGTATGTTGGTAAAAGTTTTAGTTTCTGAGATATTTTAATCCAAATCTTCCATAAAACTCGTTACCATTTGGTTTTCGACACTACTTTTTTCCTTTTAGCCTCCCTTACACGGCGTAGCGTGAATTTTAATACAATTTTGAATAATATCTCATTACAAAAAGGATGAAATTATGACAATTTTTCGCGCCAACAATATGCAGGTTCGATTTTTAGTTTTTGAGATGTTTTAATCCATATTCAAAAACACTTCAATTAGTCTATTCCTATTATTTATATTCTAAGTCATCATAAAGAGGATGAAATGCTGAACAAATCCCTCGCTTACAGTATGCAGGTCCTATTTTAAGTTTCTGAGGTATTTTAATCCATATCTTCAATAACACTCGTTATATATTTAAATAGTTGGATTGAAATAAAACATATCTTTTTGACTCTCTTTGAACAATTTTGAATAATAGCCCATTACAGAGGACGAAATGGTGAACAATTCCCTCGCTTACATTATGCAGGTCCGATTTTTAGTTTCTGAGATCCATATAGAATGAATAGAATAGAATAGAAAAATCATCTTTATTCTGGGACTAGGTCCCTTTAGAATAACAGTATTGTTCATATATATTAACTACAAATCTGGTCAAAAGACTTATTACAATGAATAATGACAAAATACATGTAATACATTAAGTATTAATTAAGCTCTTAGGATAAATTAACGAGGACAGTTGGGTAATAGGGGTTCAGTACTACAATATTGGAGCTAAAATAATTGCATAATGATCACTGAATGAAATTATAAAGGAAAGTAAAATCTATTTTATAGGTAAAGCATTGTAGTGATGGAATATAAAAATTGGAAGGTACCAATTGACTGTCGGGTAATGTGAGCAATACGGTGTTTCCAGGATAGGGTTTGGTCTATGAAAATGCCTAGGTTTTTTAGATATACAAAAATACCTCAATTAGTGGACCCCAGCAGACTTTACCCGAGCGTTGCTCATCGAAGATCTGACGGCTCAATCTATTAAGAAGTTTTCACTTTTAAAAAAAACTGATAATACTACAAACATTCTCAAGTAATAAAACACGATTCATATTTTGTCCAATACCATTACATTTTGTTTTTCAGTTTTGCAAAATTTAATCCTAAATCTAATATATTATTACCTATTAAATATGTAATATCTTCAATGTAGCCACTTTCTTTATATCTAGGTGTTTGTTTTTCGAGTGGAGTAGTAGAAAGGTCGTCTGATGTCTGATCCGACGAATTACGGCTCCAATGTAGTCAATGAAGTTTAATTCAGAAAAATTGGATCCATTCAACGAATTGCATTACTACGTTTACAACTTGTCTAAATTTCGATCGATTTAACTAGATTAATTAGTTAATAGGTGGGATTTTTTTTTTTTTTATAGTGAACTTATTAGTGGAAAATTTAGATACCTTTGACATTTGAAACTTTCTGAGAGAATGTCCCATATAATACTTACATTACTTTTAATACTTTCATCTCACCTGCGATAGATAAATGATGTCTTTAATATCCTTGGAAAGCGGCAAGTTCAACATAATTTGATAATATATGTCCGCGTTCCCTGCCGGGGCGTGCTGCCTGTGTTCGTAGAAGTAGCTCCCCCAGTAAGTCTGGTTCAGAGGTAACGCTGCCCTCAAGCAATGATAGGATGGTAAACTTTGTATACCATACTCGGAAGCAAACCTAGGTTTTGGGTATATCAGATAGTTCCATCCGTCGTTGATGTAGTTGTAATAATGAACTATATAAAAAATAAAATAAAGTTATTTATTTCATGTAATATAAAGCCAAACGTTATCGTAAATAAACGTTTATTAAAAAAATTAATTTCGTTTTTATCAAACTTTAAATAATTAATCGTTCACGATCTCCTCTAAACAAATTCAAAAAATTTATAAACTGAATCATGATTTTTATAGGCTGTAAAAAAAAAAAAAAAAAAAAAACTAAGGTGTGTGCTTTAGACCACACGATAGAAGTGAAAACATCAACAGCGAGATGAATAATATGGAATATAAATTATGAATGATAGCTCATTATATTATGCAAGTCCGATTTTCATTTCCTGAGATATTTTAATCCATAAAAAATTTTATATCATTTGAATTCCGCCTCTATTTTTTTTCGCCCCTGTAACACGGCGTCGCGTTTAGATAAACTTTTGAATAATTTCCTATTACAGAGAGGATGAAATTCTGAACAATTTCCTCGCTTATCCGATTTTTAGTTTTTGAGATATTTTAATTCATATGCAAAGCACTTCGGTTAGTCGACTACAGTCGACTTTATCCGAACGTCACACATCGAAGATCTGACGGCTCAATCTAATTCTCTTTCTACAAAAAAGTGCAAAACGCTTAATGTTAAATCTGTTAACTAGAATGGTGGTTTAAATACGCAGGAAACAGAGAATCGGACGACAATTTTAAAAATTTATTATTTTGAAACACATGATATGCGCTGTTAAACATAACGTATAAAAATGAATTTCGGCTTATTTATGATGTTTCTGCATACTCTCATCCCGTAAAAATTTTAGGGCAGAATATTTAACTATAATAAAAAAAAAATATTATATTGAATACGTAATGGTTGACCGTTTATGAGGAGTTGATCGGGGGGTCCGATCAAATAAATACTAAATTAAACAAATAGTATTATTTAATTTTTTTGCCGACATTTCGGCCCACTTTGCAGGTCTTCATCAGGGCTACAAAAGGTACAAAACAAGTGACAATAAAATAAATGAATATAAATAGATATAAAATAAGAAGAAGTTATCTGATAAACAAATAAAAAGAAGATATCAGAGATATAGTGGGTGACAATGTAGTTAAAATATCAAGTATTATATATATATATAGAAGATACAAACAAGATTGGAAAATAAGTATGAATAAAAATAGAAAACAAAGGATAATATAGCATGTAAGTTAAAAGTAAACAGATTGCGATGAAAGATAAGGAATGAGTGTATAACAAACTAATAAAGATTACATTTGATAACTGTAGGTTAACAGATAAAGAAAATGAATAATAAAGAATAATGAGATTGAAAATTGAATAAGTATTGATATCGTAAAAAAACAACAACTTATACTTATTCAATTTTCAGCGATTCTTATTCTTCATATTCTTATTCTTATTCTTCAGGGAGGTGTTCAAACGAAAGTTAAAACTGAAACCCCTCCCGAAACGTCGGCTTGAAATAAAATAGTTGTTGCACTATTTTAATCTCTTTATGGCCGCCACCCCGGACCATCTCTTTTCCCTAAGAAATATATATTATATAAATAAATTGAATACCGTCTCCATTTAATGTGTCCTGAGGATTATCAGAGATATCTTCAAGATCGTTGGAAGGACTTGAGACGAGATATCTCCTCGTATCATCGATGGCTTCTACTATTGGCCTAATAGTCTCCACGTAGAGTTTCAAGTAGTCACTTTTGTACAAACTGAAGTTGCTGCTAGTGCCGTACCTAAGTTAAAGAATTTTATTAATTTTATAATCTTGTGTTTAAAGTATATTGTTTTTATAACAGATTTAATAATGAATAGAATAAGAGATGCCCATTTCTTGCCCCTTCCTTTTCTGAATCTAGCTTGTTGGTCGCCTACTATATTTTCATAATACGGATATATCCGGTTTAGTAGGATGTTGGTAATTATCTTGTGGGCAGCTGGAAGGAGTACGGTACCTCGGTAATTACTCACACATTGAAGCTTTTCTTAGAATAGAGCAAATTATATCCGTGTTTTATACCTCCCTATTCCCATTTTTAAAAAGCTCTGATGTAGGATGCCCATTCCTAGGAGGTCGTAAGATATAATATATGTATATTGGAATCAATAGACAAAATATATGGTTAACAGCAAAAATGACAATAATTCTGTTGATATGATATAGAAGGTAATATATTTGAACACATAAAGAAGTTTTGAATTTTCAAGTAAAAAAGTAAAATTTTCTTTTGCGAAGTTGAAGAAGGTGTGAAAGTGAACTTAAGTGGTTGAAGGTGATATTTACGCGTTAGATGAGAGATCTCCTTCCTTAAACAACTTAAGTAATTGGAACAAGTTAGGGAAGAGGTACTGCTGAGTACTTTCCTTCCACATGCCTGTCATGTCATTATATCATGCATCGCCATCACATTTGCTGAATGTCAACAATAAGTTGACAGGCGCAAATATATTTTTATAGACAAAAAAAAAAAAGGTTCTAGGGTCTACGATGATTAGAAAAAACGAAATAAGTTTTTTGAAAATAAAGTATTGCGTAGAATATTCGGACCGAAGGAGGTTGAGTTTACCGAAGAGTTCAGACGATTACACAACTCCAAATGGCGTGAATTGTATCCGGTTAATATAATTGAGCTGATTACATCGTGACGAGTTAAAAGAGTTTGTTGGCGAATTGTTGGGTTTAGTAACGAAAGAATTCTTAAAAAGTTAATAATTGCTGATCCAACTGGCACTAGCGGATCCAGGATTTAATTTTGGGGGGAGGGACTTCAGCCCGAAGGATTTTTTTTTTATATATATAACGATAATTAATTTTAAAAAAAATAAAGAAACTAACTACCCATATGAAATGGTGCTTTAGTGATTCTTGAAGTCCTATTAAATGTAATTACACGAACAGTAATAGTTTAAGAGACAGTTTTAAATATTTTTTCCTATAAAACATGGTTATATTTTACCATTTTTGGGGGGAGGGCTTCAGCCCGAAAGCCCCCCGTAAATCGGCCTGTGATAACTGGTAAACGTCCGAAAGGTACACCGAAGCGAAGGTCTGGAAGATTGCGTAAAGGTCGATTTGTTGGGGCTGGGCTTAGACGGCGACCGGTGGAGGAAGGTATAGACAGCGATTGGTGATGTCGGCATCGAACCTTCTGGTTCTTTTATTATTATATTTATTTATATTAAATTGGATAGTTATTAAATGTTTTGGAATGAGATCCTTCAAAATATAATTACTGTTACAATTACTAACTTACAATTAATTCATACATAACTACTAAATTGTTTTCATCCATGCACCTACTGAAAACAGATTTTATTAAATTAATTTTATGAAATAAGTTATGAAAAATAATATTCTATTTACCAGTTCTGTTTAAGAGCTGCTTCGTTTTCGTTATTTCCAGCCCAAACCACTACGCTTGGATGGTGCTGAAGTCGCTGTATTTGCTGTTCAACTTCAATTTTCACCGTTTCAAGAAAATCATCCGTAACGGGGTACATGCTGCAGGCGAACATTAAATCTTGCCAGATCATTATTCCAAGCCGGTCACATGTCTAAAAAATATTTTAAATACATTAGTTACATATTTCTTTTACAATATTTAAAACCTGGGGAACTACAGGCCATTCTTGCCTTCTCTCTCCCCATTGAATCAAGAAGAAATAATAGATATGACCTCACAGCACTTTTCCCTCAACCTGGTAAATTGGCATTGAAAGACACCAATGGAGGCCGAGTAAGATCACTGACCTTCTGGACTTGGAAGGAACTCATAAGATGCAGGCCTTCATGCTCTTCTTTGAGACGTAAACTGCTTGCAGGAGGGAGGCAGATAAACTTTAGGGGATCATCCAATCTCATGTAACTACAGCCTATGCCAGGCAATGACCCCACATAGAAGGAAAGGTTTGCCGGACCAACTATACCATAGTCTTAGGAACCCGATAAAAATATTAGAATTTTTTTATTTAACGACTTTTACAAAACTAGACATATCTCGTCACCAAAAATAAGTCTTTTTCATCTTCTTCTATGATATCAATCTTCTTCATGCATACCCCTGTTCATCATTCCTTCTTTAACTCTCTCATACCAGGTTCTCCTCGGGCGACCTTTCTTCCGTCTTCTTTCCGTTTTCAAATTCCAAATTCGCATGGCCCATCGTTTCTCTTCCATCCTCATCGTATGTTCATACCACTCCATCCTCATAGTTTCAATAGTATGGAGTATGTTCTCCATTTGTTCAACTCGTTTCCTTTTTTCATTGTTTGGAACTTTTTAAACGCGAGAGACACCACATAATCACATTCAATAATCTATTTATAGGGCTAAACATTTCTGATTGACTCTGTTTAATCGTCAATAATTCAACTGAATAGAAAGTCACACTTTCCAGGAACGATTTATGATTTTTTTTTTTTTTTTTTTTGTTGTTAAGGACACTGATTTACTCCACAGAACAGAATTTAAGGATTTTTTTTATTAAAGTTTAATATGTTGTTACAAATTTGTAAAATCACGAACATACGCAAAATGGATCCTCTCGAAAAAGTTATTTTCATAATTCTGCATGGGGCATTGTCCTTTGGCAAGGACATAGATTTCCTATGCAGAAGTGTGTTGTTCCTGAAACTGAATAGCATGTGGTCACAACATCCACTGCTAGGTCCACGTTAGTTAGAAGCACGTGAATATTCATACTCACACAGGGATTTACTTCGATTGATAGAGAATTAATGAGTAAAATTTCCCGTTATTTGTGCTTGAAAAAATGTATTGGGTCCTGTGCTTTTCAATTTTAGAAAGCGAAGGAAAAGGATACAATTGGCTCAGTAAGATTGAGAAGAGGATTGGACCAGGAAGAGAAGACTCCATAATTTAAGACCATTTGCTATTAGTGTAACACTGCTCCTAATGCAGTATTGGCCAACAGGCAAGGAAGGTAAGAAGGACACGCTACTCGCAGCTCCAATAGTTCCTTATTGTCTAATCCATTCCTTTGAGGTCGATTTGGCAGTGTCATTCTGACCGACTCACTTATGTTCAGGGACCCATGGATTATAGCCCCGTGATAAAAATGTATTTTCATACTACGATTTGTCCTTATGAATTGACCATATCCATAGGCCTCATGATAAACATACACCTCTGCCAGTATATAGTACTTGGAATCCAAAATGGCGGCCAGGTGAAGATAGATAAATATTCTATATATTAGTAATTTTCGTTATTACAAATCTATAAATCATTTAAGGCAACATACATATGTATACATTGATCTATATAATATAATATTAATACCTATATATTGCCTTATATAATGATTTATAGCTGTGTAATAAAAGAAAATCACAAAAAGTTTTTCTGCATAGAATAGAATCGGAGTTGAAACGTAAAGTTACTACGGTCGATTGCTTATGAATGGTGGAAAATAAGATATCTAATGTTAAATAACTTTTTACATTATTTCTTTTTCGTAAAATAAAAATATAAAAATTTATCGAGTCAAATAGTGATAAAAATGCGAGGCAAAAACAATTTTTTTTCGAAGTTAGTGTAATACAAGAACGGATATCTTAGAAATTATTGAAAATAGCTAAGAAATAAATATAACCATTTCATTTGGAAATTTTATCAGCTTTAATTTTACATAGAACATTATTATAACTAGAACGCATAGTTTTACTGATATAAGCGAAAAACTGAAAAAAACCTTTTGAATCCTAAATTCAAATTTTCTACTTGAAATCCACGGGTATGGTATAACTGACTATTATTTCATGTCTTAAGACAGTAAATACTATGATCTCTCTCTATATTTACGTTTTCTACCTTTGTAGGGTATCTGCCTATCTTCGCCTGACCGTAGTTTTGTATCCCAGCGGCTATATTCTGGCAGATATGCATTTTCTCGTCAGACCTGTGGATATAGTCAATTTATTAGGACAAACCTTAGTATGGAATAAGCCATCTTTTTTGCCACTTTCCCGGACTATTACGACTGTTTTGGATCAACAAGAGCACAAGGACCAATATTCCTATCACTGAACAAAACTCTCAGCGGATATCGAGATACTGACAACAACATCTAGATTCCCGATTAAAATGCACGGCATGGGGTAGAATCATCACTCCTTTGCACGCTCAGTGTGAATTGCATCCAGAGTGCTGATGAGGTTTACAGACCAATGGGGAAGGGATTAGAGGCAGTATTTCAAGCTGATATATATAATAAATAAATGATATATAATAATAAATAAACATATATACCTCATAAAACATATCAGACTCGTACACGCCTCCTCCCCAAATCCTTATCATGTTGAAGTGAGCTGCTGCACCTGCCTCTAGAAGAGGTACCACTCTGTTTGCATCAGACAGTTTCTCCGGGAGTACGTGAGATGGGATCCAATTACTTCCTTTGGCAAATATCTTTTGTCCGTTGATGAGAAAATAGAACAAAGTACCTGCAAAAGTTAGAATCTAGCTTATTAAAATTATTAGTCCATTAGTTGCCCATAATTTGAATAACGCCTATTAAGAACTCATGAGACTTAGTTGACTAAACAGGCGTTTTATTAAGCGACAACCACCACGGAGGACGAAACGAAAAAATCTATTTTTCTCAATTCTCTAGCAGAAGATGCTTTAAACTTTTTTCTAATGAGTTGTTCCAAAAGCTCCTATCGATTTAAAGTATTCTGAGCTTCTGCCACGATTTGATCTTCATTTTGTGAAGGAACAGCCATATTATGTCCAGAACAATGTCTCAAACTATTTTAAATAACTGAATTCTTCGCGATCTGATTAAATAAAGTAAATTGTAGTTCGGCATCGATAAAGAGCAATAGAGATATAATTTTCTTTTAAGTCGACTTTAAAATGCTTAAAATGTTGTCCCAGTTCTTTTTTATAGTAGCTGCAACTGGTATTTAACAGATGATGTAGCTCTTGCACGGTTACTTTAGACCGTAAGTAAAAATAAATTTATATATAAATTTATTATTTCCAAAAAATCTATCCCAACTGTTAACGCCGCATACGCTCATTTCTTTATTTTTTTTTAAATTATTATTTTCTCTCACCATATTTCCCCTTTCTAATGTTAATGAAGAAAATGTTTATTTATTTTTTTTGTAAAATTGAGGGACTATTGTCTCAGAAATATATTTGTGTTTGTATTATTTGTATATCTGCCTTCGTTTGCGATGTATTATCGCTCATTTGTATACACACCAGCCCGGCAGTAATACCCAGTCTTAGGGATTAAGACACAAATAATGCCATAGTACTGTCAGGATGCAGTCTTAAGCCAGTCTGGAGCTGGCCTTCGTTATGGGCCCACGTAGTGGACAATTTCTCTCACCTTCTCACCAGCCGCTCCAGTTAACTCAAACCCCACCGGCCTAGTATAAGTGCCCCGTTGTTTTTTTCGGAAGTCTGGAGATAGCTCTTGTCGACACTAGACCCATGTAGTGGAAGTCTACCCCCACCATCTTCACCAAGCTCCAGGTCTCGTCTAGTTCAACTCACCAGCGCCATTTTCGAAGATCAGCTGTTGGGCGCAGCTGAGTAATCGATACATATCGATGCCACCCCACCATCGATTACTCAACAGCTGGGGATATCGGAAGGTAACAGGTTTGAAGCAGAACCTCCAGCTTGGCTTGTGTTTTCTATTCTCACCAAGACGTTTAAATATTAATTAACTGTTTTCTTCGCTAAATTAGTTTACTCTTTTGGACCATAATTTTTCTCTCTCGTTTTTATTTTTAATTTTAGAAATTGAGTTCTTTTCGCTTTATTAGTAATTGTTAATTCGGTTTTATTTTGTGTTTTTTTCATTTCAGTGAAATTCACTCCTCTTTTTTTATTTTTTTAACTATTGTATATAAATTTATATCTCTTTTTCTTTCTCAATAAATTGTAAACATTCAAAAGGGAATTTTTTTATTTTCCATTTTTTATTTATTGAAATATCTCTATTTTTTATTATTTTCTTTTGCATGCATTTGTTTTTTTCTCTAACGTTTTATAGGTCTCATTATTCACTAATTTTTTTCTCCTTCTTTCCCAACGTTTTTTAATTTTTCTCGAATTTTCCCACCATTGAGGAAACGCACTGGGAAAAGATCTGTACTTCGATTTTGAAGTACCCCTGGCCCCAACACCAACAATAATTTTCATGTTTTATAAAAATACCACAATATCAATACACTAATTATTTTTGTACGTGTTTTTTTATGTGTAAAATAAATATCTAATATTAAATATTAAACAAGTTTATAAAACAAACTCAGAAATGATTATAAAAACTAATATTTTTTATATTAGAAATGTCATTCTTCTCTTTTTATGATTGATCGATGATCATAGATTGCCAGTTGGTTAATACTGTTATTTTATGTATTTACGTCAATATTTAAATAATGAACTGATCTTACACTCATGTGATAAGTTATCAGTTATAATAAGTTATTTGAGCAAAACTCAATTGTTTTCTATAGAAATGGTTTTAAAATATTCTAAACAATCAGCAACAACAGTAAAAACTTTTTCATACTTAAATAATAATTCAATTTTGGGTAATAATAGTCCGTGGTACAGATCCTTTTTTTATCAAATTACTAACATCCGTCTGAAACGTTTTAAATAACTTCATCTCGTCGTTATATTTGTAGAAATATTTTATTTGCGATAATTCTCGGTATTGGGGTGTTTTCAATCTGGAGATCGGCAAACTTTGTCGATTTAATTAGATACTAAAACCCATGAATACCCATTAGTTTTTCACTTGAGTTGTAAGATGATATGATTTCAAAAACTTAAAAAAAAAATGGTCGCCTACAGAAATATTGGGCTGTTTGGTCTATATGACCTCGTTATTTTGGGAGTAGAAGTTAAGCCTAACGGTCCAATATTTTTGTAGGCTCCTTTTTTTTTTTCTATTTTGTGATTATATTATCTTAAGATTCAAGTGGAAAGCAAATGGATATTTATGAGTTTTTAGTGCTTAATTAAATAAACAATGTTTGTCGATTTACAGATTGAAAACGCTCCGTCCCAATTCTGCGAATTTCCACAAATAAAATATATGTAGGTTACGAAGAGATGAAGCTATTTATGAAGTTTCAGGCCGATATTAATATTTGATGAAAAAGGGGTCTGTAACATAGACTTAGTGTTGCCCAAAATTGGTCTTGGTCTTGCACTTTGCAAGACCAAGACCAAGGCTGCCTAACTGTTGCAAGACCAAGACCAGGACTGGTAAAAAAAATCGATTTTTTAAATAAAAATTAAGGCAAAATAGTCACTAATATTTGATAAATTTAGTTACTGTTAGTAGAGAATTGGTATAACCAATATACTTTTGCATTTAAATCCTCTCATTTTTCATCCGGGCTTAATTAGGTGGCTCCTATCTAACAAATTACAGTAATATCTGTATTGTAATTAGCTAATAAGTAACAGCAAGACCGTTGCGAGACTCTTGCGCATGACCAAGACTGAGTTTGCAAGACTATTGCAAGACACTCGTCTCGGTCTCGCATTTGGGCAACACTACATAGACTATAACTTTTTTCATTTAACATAATTACTTTAAACATGAAAAAATGATTATATATATATATTTATATAACATCGCAAACACTTGCGTTCATCGTATCTAAAGTGTTCTTACTACTCATGCTCACTAAATAATCACAATGCTCAAAAATCATTACATCACTTACATACACAATGCTCCTGTCCTGCAGAAAGTGCACTTGAGAAAATATTTCAGGCAATCGTTGATTTTTTGAAGCTGAAATTTTCAGCGGATCCTGATCAAACTGCAACTTATGAACCTTGGAGTTCTTGAATATGAGATTTCGCCGACAAATTCGTATAAGAAGTATACAATTTGGTTCGGCGTGCACAACTTTCACTAAGTATCTCACTTATTTCTTTTGTTATAATTTAAATTGAAGCTATTTGGTGAAAAAATAAAGGTTTTAAAATAGAATCTTACCATCGGATATGTTTTCAGATACACTGGACTGTATAAGGGAAACTGTTCGAAAACCGATGTTAACAATCTTTTGGGAGGATTCAGAAGACACTTCGATTTTATACAATTGTTGAGTCCCATATCCGTTTGGCCACCACAATGTTATATTATTCTGAAAAAAAAAATAGAGAACAGTTTTAATTAATTTTCGTTTTATAATGAAAATTTTTAGTATTATTTTTATAATAAAGTCAGTCTGTAGGTAGAATATTGCCGCTCAATCTCCACTGGCTTTTAATAGCAGTGACGCTGGTGAGAAGAAAGCGCTGGGATCTCTTCTAATCCTAGGTAGACAACTATCCCTATCTGAATTTTCGTGGGTGATTGTAAATTGTGTAAAGAAATATACCTTTCTTTAAGATGTTAGTGTACTTAGTTTATTTATTTGTATTTTATAACGGTATAATTAATTATTATTCTGTTTTCATTTTGAATATATTTATAATTGGTAATTGGTTGACTGTCGTGGATAATGAAGAGAAGAATAGTTGGGGTGCTCAGTCAAAAAAGGAAGGCAAAAATAAATTATAATATTTATTTTTTACATCTGCCGACGTTTCGACCTGAAGTTCAGGGCTTTCTTCTAAAATGTCAAAGTGAGAATGTGATTATGTGCGAACGATTCTCACTTTGACATTTTAGGAGAAAGCCCTGATGATGGCCTGAACTTCAGGTCGAAACGTCGGCAGATGTAAAAAATAAATATTATAATTTATTTTTGCCTTCCTTTTTTGACTGAGCACCCCAACTATTCTTCTCTTCATTGAATATATTTAAATGGTGTGCTGTTGTATTTTGAATTCCTTTGTATATGTAATTAATAGACTTCGCATATGTAAGATTTATATGTAAGAAAATAATTAAGAGTACACTCATAATAAGGGCTTTGTGGGCACCGGAAGGATCTCATGAATTTCGGATCGAACCACGGTTAATGCAACGAAAAAAATAATTACCTACCCTAGCTAATTTTATCTCGTAGCACAAGAGTACAGTGCCTTACTCACTGAGCTACACCGCTTTATAAATATAGAAGTATATCTAATGGAGAAGGGAAAATAGTTATGTAAAAAATTATATACATAAGTTATCACAAGGTTTTAACAGACATTAAAAAATTAAAGGAAGTTTATCGACTGTTTTACACATTGAAATAACTAAAGAAAGTTTGTTTATTATAAATAATATACATAACTAATCACTAAGTATATTTAAATAAACATAAAATTTACCTTAGGTAGAGTGAAAGAAATGTCCTCTTTTTGTTTATTTACTTTTTTTATATGCACAGGGAAGATAAATTTACTTTTTTCGTTATCGTTCCAATAGAAATCGGCTGTCAGCTGATCGTCGAACTCTACTTCCGAAGGTCCAAACCAAACTGTCAGGTTCATTCGCCAAACGTTCTCTTCCGGTATAGTTCTGACGACAACAGAATCTATTTGAGGACCATGGCTCATTATAATTTCAGGCTTTTTCCTGCAAAAACAATAAGATACATTGTTTACATACATATAATACATAATGCATACAAGATACATAAAATATAATGACATAATATTTTTTTAAAGTATATTAAAATTAATAAATATTACAGTAATGCTTCTAATTTTACTTTATTTGCTACTTTAAGGTAAAGCATGTAATGGTGATGATACTATGACGAGACGTGAATAGAAGGTTCCAAACCAATAACAGCGTCTGCTATTTATTTTAAATTATATTATACATATATTGAAGGAAGTTAGTCAACTGTTCTACATAGCATTGGTGATAAATATTCAGGATGCAGTATTTAAAAAAAAAAAATAATTTTTTATTTATGCCAACTCCTCAAGTACTCCAACACCTCAAGTGAGTACTCGAACACCCTCAGTGCTCAAACCACGCCCAGAAAATGAAGAAATTCATCTAAATCTAGATGAAGAAATTAATCTTCTTCTAGATGAAGAAATTCATCTAAATCCACCCAGTATTAGCAGGTATATATACCTTTTTCAAGGCCAACGGTTGTGCAGGGATGTGATCGGACCAGGATCACGTTCAACTTCCAGGTTTTTCTTCTTAATAAATCATTTAATTAAGAGTGCCCACTTTAGTAGTAAGGTTACTTGTGCGCCAGAAGGATCTACCGACACCTGGATCAATCCACGACTGATGAGAAATTAGTTAACATTGAAATCAGCTGGATTCCTACCCGGGATATTAGGAGCATGGGGGCAGCACAGTGCCTCATTGAGCTATTTCGCTCCATACAACAAAACAAAACATAGTTGTTTACTACCCCTACAAGAAAACTATACCTACGTAATCTCTACAACAAAACACACAAAAAAAAAATTAAAGTTTCGACCCAACTATAAGGTTCTTCAGCTGAGTTATGGAAGAGTTCCCCTGTGGAATTATAAAAAGGTTCCTCAAGGAAGCCCTTCCATAAAGTATATCCATCTTCCCCGATCCATGAATAAATACAGGCACTTTATCCCATCAAATAGTTCAGCGCTGAGTTTAGAAACTTTTCATACTTAGATCTTTGAAATAAATTATTAATGAATGAACTTACCAAAGTCCCATCGAGGGGAAGGCGGGACCCCAGTCCCATGCGAACGAAGCCTGCATCTTCCTCAACATGTTTACGTGGCATTCCCCGTTGAACACTGATGGTGGGCAAGTCTGCGGGATTTTGTATCCCACTTTTGATGCCAGCTTCCTAGCTTCCCTTATGGGAGAGCTGAACAGTATTGTGATGTTGTTGGTACCCACCTAGCGAACACAATCTGATAAGAATAGAAAATAAAAACATCTATGCATATCATATTATGATAGAATCCCAAAATAAAGTCCATAGTACGCAAAACATAACCGAACAGTCAACGATTTTAAATTAATAAGCTAAAACGTTGAAATGACGTGGATCTTGAAGCTGTGGCAGGGATTGGATGAAGAACCCGAGTCGACCGTTGAATGACGCTTACTTCTCCCAAACACGATACTGCTCAATATCTTTCAGCTCTTAGCTTTTTCTATTTATTTATAAAATCTAATAAAATACATTAAAATAAAATATTATTATTCCGAGAGTATTAAGAGAAAACCCTCCGAGCTATGACCGGAGAGATCTGGCATCAGAGAATTAAGGCGTGATAGAAAAGGACCAATCAAGAACTACTCACAGAATCTGGTCAATCTTTTGCAAGGAGGATATGATGGGCGGGGCTATCAATTAAGAAGTCTTTACATAACAATGTCTCAGTAGTAACCAAGAGACCTCCTGAAAGGGCAAAAATCAGATGGAATAGAGCTACATGAAGATATCGGGAAAGAAATAGAGCACGATAGGCAGATATGGAGAGGGCTGATTAAGACGATAGAAGATCGACAAGATATATAATGCCAAGAAAAATAACTCAGATAAAGAGTAAAATTGAAAACGGAATGACATTTCTTGAATGAACATTTTAAAATATTATTCTAACCTAATAAGTATAAGATATCCAACTGTGTGAGCAGGACACTGGTGGTCTCTGGCGTAGCCATATCTCCTCTATTCTCTTAAATTGTATAGAACTGCCAAAAATACCTACCTACATAAACTACGAACTTTTCTAGCAAAAACATTGGCTGTAAACTGAGTTTCCTGATAGTCTGAAAAATTACTTTTCATTTACATTTAGCGACTACATAATGCTATGTATTGTAAAGACCGCCGGTGGAATAATTATTTTAAATGTATAAATAAACATCATAAGTGTTCACATCTGGCGGTACCTGACTGAGGTCAACAAGCCCAACCTTTTGTAAGTGGTAATAAAAACATTTAAGGACCACCGACAAAGACCGACAACTAAGTGTTTAAAAAGGATCCCGAAAGACCTTTTCACACCTTCCACCAGAAATACCTAAGTCTGTATCTGCTGCTTTACCTTGGCCTGGGGGAGAGGGCGTGGTCATCCCTTAGGCTGAGAATATTCAGCCAATCAGGAAAAAGACTACCAAAAGAGAGGGGAATGAAAAAAGGTGGGAAATAGAGAATTGGGACTGGACACTTCTTTTTGGAACTCAGAGGAGGGAGGACTTCTTCTTGGGACTCGGAGAAGAGAGGACTTCTTCTTGGGACGGAGCTGAGAGGACTTCCTCTTGGGACTCGGCGGAGGAGAGCTGGGACACAGGCTGAGACTGGATCAGAAGACAGCCGGAGAGAGCAGATGGACGGACTAGACGCTGAAGGAGAGCAGAGACAGGGAATCCAGATATGACGGCTAGAAACACCTAGAAACACTATGAAGGACCAGCTAAGTGGTAACAAGCATTTAGTTATACTAATGTAAATTTGTGTTGGCAACCATAAATCATTAATTAATATGATCAAATATCAAGCATTCTCCTCTAGTATGATTCGCAACTAATATTATGTATATAGGTTTAGTTATTATTTTGTATATAGATGTTTTTGGTTTTATTTAAATTTGTAAATATATTAGTTAGCAAACCAACGTAGTACTTTTACCATCTACCTTGCATGCCACCAATTAGTAATAGAAACAAATAGTAAATTTATAAACATGATACCTTTAGAAAGGAAATCCGATAAGAGTATATGGTTCAATCTAGGATACTACAGTAGGGGGTCTGTGGTATTTAACATTTCAATACAAATATAAGTATTAAATACATTTTAATACGAATAAATGCGATTCCTGGAACCCCTTACTCGCCGTAGAAACGCGAGGCCAGGAACATAGCAATACGAACATATTACAAAAGGTTCAAAACAACTTAAATATTCGTACGAATTCATTAAGGCATTACCACAACCTAAATGCCCGATAACATAGACAAGAAGCTGAAAAAAAGTTGGATGAACGCTCCTTTTTCTCAACGAACTATAAAGTGTTAACTCTAGTCAGGAATAGATGCCTCTCCAGCAAATTCACTGGATATTTCTGACCGATTAGAATAAGAAATAAATGAAAAAGAAGTATATTTAGTAACTTCTAAATTTACATATCTAACAAATAGATTACCCATGTTAGATAAATAAAGGCCAAAATCTGCGTCGGTTTACTTTGTATGACCTCAGGAAAATTTACTTTTGTTTGTTGAAACTAAATAAACATTCGACAATTAATATTTAGTGTACAATGTGATGCAATAGTAAACACAATGTATTGTATCTACAATGAAAAAAATTATCAGTTGCATTGTTAATTAATATAATTAATTCAAATAAGTTATCACTGTATATTTATTTATTCGAAATTTTTCACGAACGCAATATTTTCTCTAATATATTTATTGTATAGGTAATTTTATTATAAATCATTTTTTATAACATGTCGTGCCTAAATGTTCCAGCCACTTTTTTTCGGTCTAGCCAATCTCCTCAAAGAACTCCAATGGCTATTTCTTACTCTAAATTTTATAACCATCTCTTCCTAGGTCGTCCTCTTCTTCTTTCTATTGGCAAACACCGAAAGATTAATTCCAGCCGTCGCTCCTGAGGCATTCATTGTACAAAGCCTAACCAATTTAATCTTTTCATTCCACTGTTGTGCAGATTTTTTTCTGTTACTTTAGGATATGCCTGTTCGTTTTGTTGGTAACATTTTGGAAACTGGAAAATGGCACAACAGCTTCTCCATAATTCAATATACCTATGTGGAAGTCGAAATTATTTAATTTAGGTTGGGGCGAGGTGGCCGTGCGGGCTAACGTGTGTGCCAAACATGCAGAAGCCTGATAATCAAATGTTTGAATTATAAAATAATTACGTTCGCGTCCTGGTGAAGATGAACTTATAATTTTGGCAATAATCCCCCACCCTCTCCCTCTGGTTCAGGAAAAAACCGTATAGCCTAAATGGTGAAAAGTGAATACAAAAAAAAAAAAAAATAATAATACTAGCTTCAGCACACCAACAGACAAAAGTTTCTTCAAATACGAGTAAATTTATCATTGTCTAAACAATTTTAAAGGGACTTTCAAGTAACTGAATAAACTATGTTCAAATTTTATAAAATGGATTTTTCTTTTTTTTTTTTTTCATATTTCAAGCTTCCTCTGAACTACATATTCACCATTTTTTGAAAAACTTCTTTTTAAAGAGGGTTAAATCCACAGTAATTAAATTGAGATTTGATTTAAAATAATGTGAGATTCGCCTTAAATTGTGTTTAAAAAAATATAAATCTGTATATTTGATGTAGCAGTGTTTCCAGCAAAAATAATAACTATAAATTATTAATAATATTTTATTATACTTATACATACACATACCATAATATTAATTCAAGAAATATAATCTTACCGTAAGAAATGATTTTATGCTGGGAGAATAGCGAACGAACATATTATTGCAACGAATTAGAAGATGATCGTTAATAAAGACATCCGCAATTGTGTCTACTCCATGAAGTACCAGAAATATGCTGCTGTGGTTTTTCAAATCTTCTTTAGTTACTATAAAAATAACATGGCTGGCAAAACAATACAAAAATTAAATGTTAAGTAAATAAATATAATAATATAATGAACCATATTGTCGGAAAATTTTTAAAACCACATAACCCCAAAACTTGTTTATTTTGAATTATTTTATTTTAAATTTTGTGCATAAAAATAAATTGTTAATTTTTCTATATTTTATTATTTATTTATTTTATGTTATAAGGAATTAGAATGACAGTAGAGCAAGTCGATTTTAGCTTTTGTTCAGAATATGAGTTGTGTAAATAATATTAATTATATCATTAAAGTGCATTTACAAAACATTCGTTTTTTTTTACAAAATTTAAAACTGACATACTTTACTATCAGTCTAACATTGTCCCCTTCATATCAAATAATATGTCGTATAATTGTCTTTATTGATTGCTTACTGTTAAAAACTATTCGAAAAATAATTAAATTCTCTTAGGACATTCCTCATCAATTTCGATTTATATATATAAGCATTGTGATATGTTCGCATTTCGATCTTTTTTTTTATGTTTAGCTTAATTTTTTTTTCAAATATGCGCCTAGAATTTCGAATTATGGACCTATAATCGAGTTATAGCTATTTCCGTAATGAATAGATTCTAATAGAAAACAACAAAATCGGAGCATATAAAACATTTTTTTCACAAGCAGCCCTAAAAAATTTACAAAAATGTAATTTGGATTTAGAAGTGAACGCCTGGAATATAATTCACATACTATTAAATTTATTATTTTTATAACTTCTATTAATATATATTTTAAACAAAATAATTGATCAAAATGTACATCCAGTATTGTTTAAAAAAATATTGAAAATCATTATCTGTTTGATGGCTGTTGACATCTCTCTTCAAACATTTTGTTTTTGTTTTTGTTTACTATAGTTATATTACATAATTCAAACATCCGATTCATTTATCTATTATTTCAGATATTGATTATGTTTTTTTTTATAACTTTGTCAATCTCATTACGAAAAATCTGTAGCAATACGTACAACACACAACTCTCTCTCCTCACTCTTCTTTAAATAGAATATTTGGAAGTGAGTTAACAATCGCAGACAGTGAGGGCTTTTGAAGTAACACTTTTATTTAAAACGTCTGTTACTTGTGAAATTTCAACAATTATACTATAACTATGGGTTGACTGAGTTCACTCCAGAACTGCAAGAGTATGACAAGATCTTAGATCTAGTTCTCCTAGCAACTGCACGAATGTAACTGCAAGAGTGATTTGTCCTGAGAACCATAAGGATAGACATGTTAGGAATAGTAGAGAGGATGAGGGAAATCTAATGATTTTTTTTTTTCATATCCCCTTTTTATTTATTTTTCACTTGGATCCTTTTCATTGTTTTCATAGTAGTCCTTTTACTGCTTAAAAGCATTGTAAAGTGTATTTTTTTTATTTTTTGTCGTTTCTGAGTACTTTGTTCTTCATCTGTAATATAACAGGTAATGGGGCTCACCTCAGGCTTGAGTTGACCTTATCCTCTAGAGCTTACAACTAAATTAATAAAATGCTAACGTTTTGGAATTTTGGCTGGTAATGAATTGTTGAAAAGAGGGTTTGCCAATAGTTGGAATTTTTCGAAAACTGATTTTTTTTTTCGTTTTGCCAGAAATTCTTTTATAATAATAATAAATAATAATAATAAAAAGGCTTAGCGAACCCGAAGGTTCGATGCCGACACCACCAATCGCTTATTGCACACCTCCCTCCATCGTTCGCCGTCCAAACCCAGTCCCTTCAGATCGGCTTTAATGCAATCTTCCCACCTTCGCTTCGGTCTACCCCTCGGACGCTTACCATTCGACACAGTAAATATTAATCTTTTAGGAATTCTCTCATTACTAAGCCCAACAACTTTACAAGCCCATTTGATCCGCCGCGATGAAATTATTTCAATTATATTACTCGGATACAGTTCACGCAATTCGGCGTTGTGTAACCGTCTGAACTCTCCGGTTAACTCATCCTTCTTCGGTCCGAATATTCTACGCAATACTTTATTTTCAAAAACCTTAAGACGCTGCTCATCCCTTAATGTAAGCGGCCAAGTTTCGCACCCATAAATAACTGTAGGCAAGATAATTGTTTTATAGAATCTAATTTTTAAGTTTCAGGACAAGAGGCGCGAACTAAGTAGTTTTGTCACAGAAAAATAACAAGCATTTCCCGCCTTCAGTCTAACCTTAATCTCTTCTTCAATTTCGTTTTTTCTAGTTATCGTAGAACCTAGATACCTAAACTTATCTACCTGTTCAAATATATTACCATCTATATCGATATCACCAGTAGTATTGCCATTTTTGCAGCTAACCATATATTTTGTTTTATCCACGTTTATTTCGAGTCCTAGTTCTTTACCGGCTTTCATTAACGTTGTCGTATTTAGTTTTATAGTTTCAAGGTCTTCGCTTAATAGTACCAGATCATCCGCATAGCCCAGCACGGATGTTGTCCCACCCAGATCCAACCCTTTCTCGGTTCGCATTACCTCCCTAATGGCATGTTCTAATGCCAAATTGAACAGGACAGGCGAAAGGGAATCCCCCTGTTTTAAACCCGACCGAACCTCAAATTTTTCTAACAGATTATTACCAATTCTAACTTTATTGAGTGTCTCCGTCAAGCACATCCTGACTAAATTTACTAGTTTTTTTGGAATCCCCTGCTCGATTAGAATATTATACAGTTTCCGGCGGTCAATACAGTTTCTGACCGCCAGAAATTCTTTTATAGTTGATAAATTTAGTGTGCTTGAATATCCAATGTCTTCTTTCTCTGCAGCGTGGCTCCTCTTACAATTTTTCTAATTATTCCATTTTGGAAATATTGTAATCTTTTCAGAGTTGTTTTGCTGATATGTTCGAACATAGGTGCACCATACAACAGAGCCGTATTATACTTGTATAGATTAGAAGCTTTAGGCGTAAAGATAGGTTTGTTTTCCGAATTAAATTTTGGAGTCTGTACGTTTTAAGATCTTATTGTTTTAATTTTTTTGTCAAAATGTCTAGTAAATTTTAAATGTCTGTCGAAGTGAATACCGAGATATTTTAAGTCAGTCGATAATTTAATACTGTTATTGTTAATTTTGAATTCGTTTGGCATTTTCTTTTTTCCTTTTTTGGTATGAAAATATAATTCCTTTCGTCTTTTCAGGATTAACATCAATGTTTAGGATTTTTAGCTGGATTTCTGCAATTTTTTCACAAGCTATTTCCGCCTGCTGCATAGCTTTTTTTGCATTTATACTGCTACTTGAGACAGCTATGTCATCAGCATATGCTGTCACAGAAGCATTTTGGTGTTTAGTTCCCACTATTTCCGCAGTATATAATAGGAAAAGAACGATGAGGGCTTACATGAAGTCTGTGAGAATGGGTTCTTTTGTCGAAATCTGTTATTGTACCTTAAGTCCTGATAAGGTCTTATTATGTCCTGTCCGTACTTTTAGATAACTAGCTCTAAGCTATCTAAGATAGTCTTGTCCTTTGAGTTATGGGAACTGTCAATACATGATACATCACATAATAGAGCACATTACATAATAGCTCTGAAACCATCGTACAAAAATCGACCTCATCGCAGGCGGAGGTTTAATTGTAAATTATGAAAGTGTATGCTATTCTGAGTTAAAAGAACCTGGTCTGACATTCCAGAGCCGCTACTTTAAAAAATGGCGGCTGATTTATAAATATTAGGCCAGTAATTTGAGGATCGAAACGGGAAATCCATTGCGAAAAATGTGAGAAAAGTTTTTTTTTTATATTGTGTATATGGGTTTAGAGATGTTAAAAAGAAAATTGCTAATGCAGGCCACCAATGGAAAACTCTTTACAGCCAAAAAAGTCAGATTGTTTCGATTTTTTTTTGTTTTTTTCATCTATAACCCCTAATCAATGCATCACAGCGAAAAATGTACCCATTAATTAATTATAGAACGTTAAATTGTGCATCAAACGAGTACATAAACTTTATAATATGGTTACGTGGTAAGGTATAAAACCACGGCCAAACAACACTGATTTTCACCAAATTTGTTAAAAACTGAGACTAGTTATTATAAATGGCCCTGCAACTTGGAAATCAGTTCCCTAAGAGGAAATATCCATAGAATAAAAGTTGTAGAGAATTAAATTTTGCTTCCACTCAGTACCAACTAATTTAATTTAGGTCACCTACTCCGAACAAAATCAAAAATCTTCCGATACGTATTATATTATATAAATATTACTCCGAAAATGTTATATAAATATACAAATGTCGTTTTCATAAATGCTATTGTTGGTAATATTTAATATTTAATTGTATAGATTACAGCGATATAAATATTATAATTTTTATATATAAGAGTACTTATACAAATAAAAATACCCACAATGAAATACAATAAATATAGGGTCTGTAATTTTTTACTTTCACTTCCCCTTTGTCTGAAAATACTTATTTCTGGTGAGAAGAGGGTGCTAAGTGAAAGTCGTGTGATGCACTCACCAGATTTTTTCTGTCCTGATGATGCCTGAATTGGCTAAACGTAGGAAAATTAATTGTTCTCTTGTATGTTGGATACTCGTGGCTTTATAGTTTGGATTGTAATTATTATAATAGTTTAGGGATTAAGTCCAGTTAATTATAACCTGTATTTTCCAAACTAAGAGTAGCTGCACAGAGAACTGGGTCTAGCCCAAAACGTAACAAAAATAGAGCTGTTATCGACAATCTAAAGCTGCCAATCATAATTTTGTAAATTAGATGAATTGATTATCAGAACAAATTTTTATTCTATATCAAGTTGGGTCCACATATTTAGTTCTTCAATATATCAGGAAGGAAATTTTTGATTCGGTATTTGCTTGAAATTCAAATTTTATTCGTCGTAAGTAGAGTGGTAATTGAAAGTTGTGTGATGTACACTGCACTATAATTTGTTTTTATTGAATGAGTCATTTATACCAATTTATAAGTAAAAGATATTGATAATGAAAAATAATATCAGAGAAGTGTTTTCACCAATTATAACACTCGTATTGAAGTGTTTGAAGATGACATAAGGCATGTTAATATAATTAAGGCAAATATTAAAAAAAATTCTTAAAGCATTAACGACTAAATAGATAATTTTGTTTTCCATACTTTGAAATTTAGTAAAATAATTCCAGTTCTCTTTTGCTATCCACCTGAACCTGACGTCATTGTTGCCAAACAGTATATCTGTGATCATAGAAGCATCTTCCATGCTGGAATATACACCTCCTGGTACTTTTGTTATCATATCTATAGCTGAAAAAGAAATGTTTATTGACTGCCGGGCTTTCTCAAATATTAATTATTTGATTATATTAATCAAATATAAAAAAACAAATTTGAATATAGATGAAAAATTTACGTTTTCCGATATACAATTGACATGATAAAGTCACGTCGCGGAAACTATTAAACTAAATACAACATTAATGAGAGCCGGTAAACAGCCGGCTATTTTATGCTGAAAATAAATACGGGTACAAAAAATGACATGTAGCTGAGAAAGGCATTTTGGTGGTATGTATATCTGAATGAAATGCATTTGAGAACGTAAATAAATAAAGAGTTTAAGGTAAGCGATAACTAAAAAAACGATAATGTAGAGATGGTTGACCGTGATATAATATGAGAAGGAGTTGATCGCGGGATGCGGTCAAATAAATATTAAATTATAGAAATAGTATTATTTAATTATTATGCCGACGTTTCGACCCACCTTGCAGTTCTTCATCAGGGCGTGGGATGTGACACTGCGGGAGGCAGTTGAAACACTTCAGTGCCACACCCCACACCCTGATGAAGACCTGCAAGGCAGGTCGAAACGTCTGCATAACAATTAAATAATACTATTTTTATAATTTAGTATTTATTTGACCACACTCCCTGATCAACTCCTTCTCTTAAAAAAAAAGATATTGAAGTGCAAATTACGGTCTAGAAATAGATGTTCTTTTTCGGTTGAAAAATTGATTAGTTCACTCCTTTTATCCCAAACTTGTTCGTCTGCATTACGGTGGAATGAACGCCTTAGGCTTATTGAAAATAAAGTGTTGCGCAAAATATTTGAACAACGTCAAAGTGCGTTTAATTTTTTTCTCGATAGCCCCTACTCAGCCATTTATTGCTTATGGGGAAGGGGGAGAGGGGTTTTTAATAGAGATACAAGTACTGGGGCAAGTGCGTACTGGATTTTAAATTAACCAAATAATTTGGTTTTCCTAGATTAGTAGGTAGGTAGCTTTTTCATTTCACTGACTTGGATGGATGACCGTTCACCTAGACAAACCACGCTGCTGAAGGTACTATTACTAAGGCATTGCCGGAGCCAACTCACACAAACCTGATTTAGGAGTGATGATTCTATCTCATGTACTTTAAGCTGGTATCGTGATTTACTTTTCCACGATAATAGCTGTTTCATGGAAAGGAACAGAGGGTTTGATGGCGCAACTTGCTGAATTTCGAGGGGGGCACATTTCGGTGGATGAATTTTCTAAATGGAAATGGACAAGCGGGAAACATGGAACAGGCCGCAGCAAGTGTAATTGTATATCATCTACGATTTTTGTAAATCTACCTTCCGTTGCTCTGTTTTTAGAAAATGTGAGCAATAAAATATCTTGGGAGTGGGGAGAATAGGTTTACTCACGTTAGGAGAATAGGCACTACCGACGTTAGGAGAAGGAGTAGGAGCACCCCTGGAAAAAAATATACGAGAACCTTCTGACTCTGAGTAGCCATAATTCATGGATCTAGGGCAATTTGATACTCCTTGAACTCGAGTGACTCGATGGGAAGAATACTGCAGTATCGGCCCCAAAAAGGATTGAACTTGGGGTTACGATTTACCTGACACTACACTGTGGTTCGTAGCAACGTGAGTTTGGTGAACCCCTCTAGGATACTATGCTCTCGAAAGCAACAATTATCTGAGCCAAATGAAAAAAAAAAAGTTCGTGAAAAACAATAAAGTAAAACATTGTAGTTTATGCCGACTTTTCGGCCAAAGTTTCAGAACTTTATTAGAGCTAAGGAAAGACAAGATGACCAAAAATATATGAAAACATATTGTTTTCTGCTGTATTTATAGTGTGATATTTTACTTACTATATATTTTTATACCCTTACCATTAAATACTGTACTTATATATTTTTATTTATCTTCCTTGATTAATGCCTGAAACTTAGGCTGAAACTTCGACAGAAAATACAATATTTTTTCCTCTATGACTGCAACTCCTAACTTCACAAATGATCTACATTAAAGTGTTTCTTCAATACCAAGAAGTAAAAATATCTATTATTATTATACTCACTGCGATTCATGTTGTACAGATGCCATGACTGCAAGCTCAAGTCGATGACTTTGAGAGAACTCGCGTGGTAAATCACGAAGAACAAGAGGGCGCCGTAGATCTTCATGCTGCCGAAGGAAGCGGCAGAATGAAGCGGAAGATGACAACTAGAGATCTCTTTGTGTACTCTCTTATCTCGTAAAGCTGTACTCTGACCTTATTGCTGATTGCAGATAATGTCATTACATTTCAACTTTAACGAAATTATACATTATCTCTAGTGAAATTGACACCAGTCATAATCTCTGGACTAATAATATAGTTGATAGATATTGCAACATGACAACTTTCGAAGACTGGTTCTACAATCAGCTGACTATGTAGATTTTCTGCAGTTAAAGTTTAAGGAGATTATGCTATGCATATTTTAAATATATCTCCAAGGTTACGGCAAGAAGGTCGAATGTTTTTTGTTTTAAATAATTCGAAAGGTGAATCACCCAGCTGTTTTAAGATTTTAATGATTGACAAAAAAAAAACTATGGTGTGTACTTAAGAACACACGATATAGTCTATGTTACATACACATTTTTTTCAAATTATTATCATCCATCTGAAACTTATAATATAATATTTATTAGCACAAAATTTGACATAAAAAAAATTAAATTTGCGTTATGCAAATTTCTTTGGAATGAGCAAATTTTTTGCAGCTTCACAGCGTTCCATTACAATCCAGGAAATAGTTCAGTTCAGCAGGTCTCTTGGCCACCGCCTACGTAATCGTCGAGGTGGGCTGTACGGGTTTCTAGTGCTTTTAAGGTTTTCTGTCAGAGGTTTTCTGTGTAGTCTTTGGTGAAAGTTGTATTTTTTTTTTTGCAGTGTCTGAAATTGTTGGGATGTTCAAGTCTTTATGTAATCTATCGTTTGCGACATTTAATGGTGCGTCAACTATTCTTCGTAAAATTTTGGATTGGAAAGACTGGATTTTTTTAATATTAAAAGTTTTAGCAGAACCTCACAGTTCTATGCCATAAGTAAAATTGGTTTTAGTAAAACTTTATAGAGCGTTAGTTTGTTAGTCAAAGATAATTTTGAGCGTCTGTCAAGTAACCTAGATAGAAGACAGTATCGTCCGTTTAATTCCATACATTTTTGTCTAATGTGTGTCCTCCAAGTTAGTCTTTTGTCGAGGTAAAAACCCAAATATTTAATTTCCTCGGATGCAGGAATTTCAATGTCATTAAAATATATTTCGGGGGAGTGGGTATGATTAAGTGTGAAAACTACTTACACACTTTTGTTTTCGTTCATTTTAATTTTCCACCTTGTTGCCCGACTGGTTACTTTTGCTGACGATACCGCAGTCCTGAAACTTAGTAAATAGCTTCATCTCATCATAATCTACAACTATTTTATTTATGAAAACTCATGTAATTAGGGCGTTTTCAATCTGGAGGTCGACAAACTTTGTCTATTTAATTAGGTACTAAAAACTCATAAATACCAATTTTCTTTCCACTTGATTCGTAAGATAATTTAATCACAAAATCGAGAAAAAAGGTGGCCTACAAAAATATTGAGCCGTTTGGCGTGACCTCCGCCCCTGTCAAAATAACGAGGTTATATAGGCCAAACGGCCCAATTTTTTTGTGTCACCTTTTTTCTCGATTTTGTGATCAGATTATCTTACGATCCAGATGGAAAGCAAATAGGTATTTACGAGTTTTTAGTTTGAATTTTTTTTTAAGATAATGTTGCTTAAAATGTTTTCATGAATTAAAATGTTTTCTTTGCTCAGTCAAAAAAAAAAGTATATTTATTTGTATTGGGTTTTGCGAAATCATTTCGTTTGATTGCCCTGATGAAGGCCTGAACTTTGGGCCGAAACGTCGGAAAAAATAAATATACTTATTTATTTTTTGCTTTTTTTTTTTTTTTTACTTATCACCGCAACCATTCTTTTCTTCAATTATTCACTACAATCAATCATAAATCCGCAGATATTTTTTTTATTTGTTTATTTAGCCTCTACCCCTAAGGGTCATTGGCTTAATGTGCACAGATATTTGTTTGTTCTTTATTCACAAAATAATAACAGAAACAGCATCAAAAGTACTTTTACGTCTAACTAAAAAGATACATCTATATTGACTTCTGCGAATTGGCTTATAAATTCTTTATTATATTTAAACTTTGAAGTATTTTATTCCAATTGTTCATAATAGTTGTTATTATTTGTTTTTTGCGCCAATTCTTTCCACTTTTGCCCATCTAACACGGTGCCGCTTCAAGATACAATTTTGAATAATAGCTCATTAAAAATATGATGAAACTAGTTGGCCCCTGCGAATAATTTGCAGAAAAATTTGTTTATTGAAGAAATGGCAAAACAATATGTAAATAAGTAGATCCTATGTATTATGTAAGGAAGGAATTAATATTTTTTCCTTGGATGATTACAATATTCCATTTAACATAATAGACTAAATTATTTGTACAAATCGCTTTGCTTGTACCTATTTTTAAACACTGACTGGAAAGATAGTAAAAATAATAAAGACAAAATAATGCCCAGATCATGGGATTATCTAAATTACTAAAATGTAAGAACAATCATATGCCTTTAAGAAATAATAAAGTTAATATATCAGCCAGCAAAAAAAGTGTTGTAGACTATTCCACTCCTAAATGCAATATCATCAAACAGGATTATTAAGTATACCAAAACTAATTTACTGTATCTTTGTTAATAATTGTCCGATTTTACGATTTTTTGTTTGTTTTGTAGGTAATTTAGTAATCTTTATAATAATTATGGGGGATAGGACTAATTTTTCACATGTGAAGGAGAAGAATATCTTCAAAATGAGTGGTCAAACATTGGATTTGATGGAGAATTGACGAAGTTATGGCGTACCGACAAAAAAAACCTTTTAGAAATAATATATAGGATACGGAACATTGCCCCTAGCTTACATTGCTTCTAGCTTACTGTGCGTAAGTTCGATTTTTAGTTTCTGACATATTTAAAAATCAAAAAAAAAAAAAAATTATATGAAATTTACAACTGTATTGCATGAAAAATACAACAAGTAAATGTGACATTGGTAACATGACATGTACAACATGAAGAGAAACTACCCATTGGTAGAACTCAACTAAAGTTCTATATTAGAAGGTCCCTAGGCCATCTTCTTTTCAGACGCCTCGGAGGATTATCAGGGATCGAGGAGGAAGCAAGGTTTGAAACGAGAGGGTTCGGATGGTTCTGCAGTTTGTTATGGAAGGATAGGTATCTAGATTGGGCCAAGTCGGAAACATACGGAACATTAAGGTCTTTATGGATGATTTTATTTGTGACAAAGTAAGGAGCGTTAAGGATTTTACGAAGGATTTTGGATTGTAAGGATTGGATACGAGAGGAATTCGATGGTTTAGTGGACCCCCAAAGCTCAATTCCGTAAGTCCTAATAGGTCTTATTATAGTCATATATATGAGTCGTTTATAATTTATTGAAAGCTTAGAGCGTTTATCTAGTAAGAGCCGCAGTAGTCGAAAACGCCGGGCGGTTTCTAGTCGTTTCAGTCTGGTATGGGGGTGATATTTAAATATAAATATATAAACACTTCGATTAGTCGAGCCGGCTTTACCCGAATGAGCGTTACATAGCCGAATGCGTGACAGTTCAGTCTCATTCAACACCCACAAAATAAAGTAATAAACAAGTGTAAAGAAGTTTTCACCTCAATAATTCTGAACCAATGAATGAATCAATCACATGTAACTAAATAGTAGTTCATTTGGATATAATAAAGCAGAAATAAAACTATATTATTTACAGTTTATTTAGTCAAAATATATCCCTACATTCCCCACATATATTATTACAGTAAGGCTCGAAATCGGTTTTGTAGCAAATATAAGCTCCTGTCATGCTTAAATACCATGAATGGGGAACCATTGGATTCAGAATTTCACGGAGGTTTAGCGAATCGTAATCTCCACTTTTGTTTTTCTTTCTAATATAAATAAAGTCGATTCAAACATTTTGCTAGGCTTCAATGCTGGAACGGTGGTAGGTCTGTAGATCGATACGGGACAAATTGGATCTTGAAGATTTCTATGCGTACAGCAAGACTCCGATAATTCCTCCGGAACTATCAGGCCCTGCGTTCTTAAACGTACTATTTTCGAGATAACGCAAGGCATAGGGTTCGCATCCACACAACCTTACATTAATTGTGGTACTGTCATTGAATACATGTCTCATTTCGTCGACTTGAGGTCTCTATGATCGAGAGAGGAGTTTATATTATTTATCGATGGTGTTTTGATTGGCAAGCTATATCATCGTTAATTTTTCACCAAATCTCAATATTAAGCCACCAATTTCGAAGGCTTCCTTCTCCTTCAGGCGGGCAAAATAGTCCAATCACCCCGAAAATTCAGGCAAACAAGTTATGAAAGAAAACAAACTTTATTTGCGAATAACTAAAAAATTACACACTTTTCCCTGGGTTATGCCCATGATTATATAAAAGATTACCCAATTTCCTACAAAAGCAAAAAAAAAAAAAATCATCGAAATCGGACTATTTTTAGCAAAGATACAGCTTACTGAAATTTGTAAATATGTTGATTCCAAACCAAAATGAAGATTTAAATTAATTTTTGTTTTCTGTGTCAATTATATTTATCGATAAAGTAACATTTGATTTCTTTATCTTTTGATACGTTGCATTATTTTATTTTGTTATTGATTTGGCATTTGATATCAATATGCTGTGCGAATTTTTCGCACCGGCCTACTGGTTTTAGAATAAATATAACAAGTCAAACATCTTCTCCAATTAGGAGACTGTGACATAAACAAAATATGCAATTTCAAATATTTAACAAAGGAGCCGACATTGAACACACAAGAAGCGGTTCAATCAGAAGACGGAGCATCATAAAAATCTTTGATGTACTGCATAAATGTATATATAATCGTACTTCTGCATTTGAACTGATGTCTTGATTATTAATGATGAGTTATATTTTTCTTTTGCTGTCTACCTCGCCTTTCGGCTATACGCGGTTTTTCCCAGGTCAGGGACAAGAGCGAGAAATTAATGCTATAAATCTAAAGTTCTCGACACCGGGACTCGAATTTGTATTCTTCAGTTTATCAGCTTACCAGGTATCCCGTAATGATAATCGTTATTAGTAATAATAATATTATATTAATACAGG